CGGCACCCGCGCCTGCGTGCGCTACGGCATCAACCCGGAGCAGATACAGGGTGAGGCCCTGTCCTACTACCTGGCGCGCCTGCTGGGCCTCCAGCGCCACGTGCCGCCACTGGCACTGGCCCGGGTGGAGGCTCGGGGCGCGCAGTGGGCGCAGGTGCAAGAGGAGCTCCGTGCTGCGCACTGGACCGAGGGTAGTGTGGTGAGCCTGACGCGCTGGCTGCCCAACCTCACCGACGTTGTGGTACCCGCGCCGTGGCGCTCGGAGGACGGCCATCTGCGGCCCCTGCGCGCCGCGGGAGGCGTGCTAGCCAACCGCAGCCAGGCGGAGCTGGTGGACCTGGTGCAATGGACCGACTTGATCCTCTTCGACTACCTGACGGCCAACTTCGACCGGCTCGTCAGCAACCTCTTCAGCCTGCAGTGGGACCCGCGCGTCATGCAGCGCGCCACCAGCAACCTGCACCGTGGTCCCGGCGGGGCACTGGTCTTTCTGGATAACGAGGCGGGCTTGGTGCACGGCTATCGGGTGGCGGGCATGTGGGACAAGTACAATGAGCCTTTGCTGCAGTCGGTGTGCGTGTTCCGCGAGCGGACTGCGCGGCGAGTGCTGGAGCTGCACCGCGGCCGGGACGCTGCCACTCGGCTACTGCGCCTCTACCGGCACCACGAGCCTCGCTTCCCCGAGCTGGCGGCGCTCGCCGACCCCCACGCTCAGCTGCTGCAGCGCCGCCTCGACTTCCTTGCCAAGCACATTTTGCACTGTAAAGCCCTGCACGGCCGTCGACCTGGGACCTAGCATCGCCGGGAGGAAGAAAGAGAGGAGACCCCTAACTGGGGAATGGATGGTGGGAGAAGGGCCGTCGTCTCCACCCCCCTCCCCCGACCCCCGCCTGGAGCTAGCTGGCCAACGCCCAGCTCGGTGGCCCGTGCGCGAAGGCGACGCAAAACTTCAGCCTCACCCACCTGCCCCTTTCTCTCTGTGCTGTGTTGTTTTCAAAGTTCGGGGAGGACCGACGCACGGACGGACCCAGGCGAGCAGTGTAACATTCCGTCCACCCAGCCTGTAAGAGGATTAGGCCCTGTGCCAGCTCGGAGTTTGGATCCCAAGAAACTGGCTGCCGGAGTTTGGCCCCCCGGGTGGCGTCTCTGTGGGAGATGCATCCCATTCGCGGGCCACCCAGCTCCCTTTCCGAAAAAGGAAAACTTCTGTTGAGCCGTTGAGCTAATTCTGCGGTTTCCTACCAAACGCAGTGCTGGTGGCCCCAGTAAGGACTGTGACATTGCCTGGTGCAGCCCCCTTCCTGTGCGTTCCCTTTGTTCCAGCTGGGTGATGGTGAGATCGCTGTTAAGAGCTGGGGGAAGTCTGCGGGTAGGACAAAGAGAGCGGGACCTCCGGGACCCTGGGGTCCCCGCACACCCTGGGCTGTCTGACTTGTTCCCTACTGCTTTGTCATTTTGGCCTAAAGGCTTCAAAAAGCAAGGCAGGCTCTATGCACTGAGTCAAAAATGAATTTCTTCTTCCTGTTCCTCCTAACCGACCAAAATTTTGACAGTGTCGATGTCCTCCAGAAGGGAAAAGAAATCCCTTTCGTGCACTTTACTTTGTTCTTATTTTAATTTTTTATTCAGAAAAAAACTTTTATTTGACAGAATTTGCCTTCTATGTATATATGTGCATAAAGTGTGGTGTAAATATACTAAACAAACTTATATTTCAATAAAAGGGAATTTAAAATTTAGAATTTAATTGCTGTGGTTTTAACTGGGATGGCTGATGTCCTTTAGAAATAAGCTTTAGGATTTCTCTCTTGAGAATGTGCTTTTAAAACAAAGGAAGCGGATGTGGATATATCCCAGTTGTGACTTGGGGACCTATAGAATCGAACAAAGGCAAGGACCAACTCCCTGTCTTGCGCACTCAAATGAATCCTAGAGCTGGAAATTTCAGAGTTGAGCATAGTATGTGGGGGATAACAGAAAGAGGAAAGGAAAGTACTCTATTTCCTGACAAAAGTATTATAAAAGAAATTCACTGTATTCTATTCCTATATTAATCATTTAACAAATATGATAGAACCAGATGTGCCGAATAAAATATGACAAATGCCCCCCCCTTACAACTTAACTACTGTGGTCACGTGTTGCACATTATTTTCAGCATTGTAATTACTGTGCATCACAATGTGTCCAAATAGTAAGCTGAGCACATATTGCAAACAGGTAGGGAAAGCCATAAATTAATTCTTCTCTTTAATTTCCTGGCATAAATTCCATTGCATCTAGGAGATCATCATCTCCAACATCTGGACTCCTCCAGTTCGCTCTAGAGAAATGGTCTTTTTCAGATACGAATTGCACGGTCATCTCAGCATTGTGAGGCCAGGAACATGGACACTCCTTGATATATGACACTTGGTCCCTTCTTGGGTGCTTCAGACTTACTAAGTATTTTTGGATTTTTCTTAAACTCCTTTTTCACCATGGGGAGGGGAGACTGGTTTGGATTGTGTTTGTTTAACATCCCATTCCTGTTTTATCTTGACATTTTATTTGCTATTTGTGTCAATGTGGTCTTGCCTGTTCTTATTTAATGACCTTTAACTCAAAACAACTTTCGGTTACTTTAATAGTTTAGTTGACTTGCATTTGTAAATCTATAGTTTTATAGACTCATGAAGATATTAAATCTCCATGGGTTCTCTTTCCCACTGCATTATAGCACAGCATGTAATTTAACTGTTTAATATCATCCTTATGTTTTCAGTGCTGTGTGCTAAGCTGAACTCTATCTCCACTGGAAAAAAAGAACAGTCCATAAACGTGGCATAATAAGCCAAAGTTTTTCATAGTCCTGTCACAATATATGCTGGTAGTGGCAATAGACTTTTTCCCAAGACCTTGTTAATGTGAGACCTCTGATAATTTCCCCTTTCAAAAAGAAACCTTTTCCTTTTCTCATGATCAATAACCACCTGAGATTTGCTTAAGTCAAAGGAGGCTGCTCCAAGAAAGTCTTCATACTCTTCAACCTGCAATCTTACCCAACATGTTCCTAGAAGAAATTAAGCAGAGATAAGTTACACATTTTCAGATTTTGCAGAAACATACACCCTGGCTTCCGTAGAACTTCAACACTGATGAATTGTAGGGCAGCAAGCATTCTCTGCATTTCTCCCAAACTGCACTTCAGGCCCAGACTTGACCATGGGTAACCCAGAGCAAGAAAGGAAGCATCGTTTAAATAGTTCTTCTCAGATTCTTTAGTGAGCCCTATCTGCCTGTTGAAGAAATAAGTTTAATTACATGGTGGAGCTGTTAAGCGGATCAAGACATAATTACAGAGTACAAGTTTTAACTGTTGCTGTTTCTTGTGGATAATCAAGAGGCTTTGGCATTATCTTTGTGGATAATTGAGAGACTGTGGCAATTAAACTTGCCATGGTCAGTGAATGCTACTAAAACCAAATTATTTTTCAGAGAGAAAAAAATTTCAGGCTGCAGCATGGTGTGCAAAGAGTAATGGATTCTGCCGACTGACTGTATTCTGAATTCTGTCCCTCAGCTTTTTACTTCCAGCAAGTCACTTAAGTTAGTTTCCTCATCTATGAAATGGAGACTCGATGAGAGTATTATGGGGTTTGTATGTTATGTATATAACATAATAGTTACTTCAAAAAGAAAAAAAAAACTCCTCATGCATGTAAAAAATTCTTGCCATTCTTATATTTAGTAAAAAACTACTAATTTTCATCTTCAAAGCTATTTGCAAAGTCAGTTTTTGAAGTGTGGTTATGAACTAATTCAGCAAATTATTGATAGGAGCCTTTGCTAGCATTCTGCAAAGCTGTGGGTCATAAGGTCAAGGGCACATTCTTGATCTCTGTGTGGGCTTAAGTGGGTGGTTTCAGGCCCCAAGCAGAGCTATCCTAGGCAAAGCACCAAAGCAGCTATCCTACAAATAGATGAGAGCAAGTTAAAAAAAAAAATGTAGATGGCTCATTGCAAATCCATCACCACTTCTGGAAAGCATCAAAAGTAATGAATCTTTGCAAGAAGTACAATCCTCCTCCCAATTCCTTCTGCCAAGAGAAAGTAGGCAGTTGACCTTTTCTGCCTGGATTTGACTGTTGATTAATTCACTTTGTCAATGACATAGTTCTAAACTCTATGAAGAGTACTTGCCCTCCTCTCTTCAAATCAGGGGGAAAAACAAATAATTTTAACATCTCTCAACATTTTTCAACCATCATGAACAACTGTAACTCAGAGAGTCTTCTAAGGCCTAGAAGTTGATTATCGACTAAAAGAGTAAATATTTGTAATAGTTTCAGAACAGTGCCTTGCATAATGCAAAGGCAATGAAAGTGTTTATTAGTTGGGTAGGTCATTTTCTCCTCTAAATCAAAATCAGAGCCAAAGGCAAGATGTTCTTTCAGAATCCTGCTATATCTCAGCAGTCTTAGAACACTTTCTGCATGCTTCTACTCTGGCCCAGAAAGACCAGCCAAAATGCATGAATCTGACAGTTGTCAGCTGTCTCCCTCTGAGAGTGCCCTCTGTAAGAGTCGTCACACGCACCCTCTTTTATACAGGGCAACTGTGATTCTATTTCTCATCTGGCTTACCAGCTCCAGGGACCCGTGAGTGCTGGGATCTTGCACCTTCATAGCTATTCAGCAATCATAGATCTTGCACATTTGGGTGCTGATTATTTGTCCTCCACACCTCCACCTCCACCTCACCCCCCAGAACCACTGATTCCAGATGGGGTAAGGTTGGCAGGTGTACTGGAATAGAGAGGGGATTCTGGTTGATCCAGAAGTACAGGAATTGCTCAAACGGGATCAACCGTCAGCTGCCAAAGGGATTTAGAAACCCCAAGAATGGACACTGACCTCCAGGCATATTTTGATTAGAGTCAGATGGAAAGGATACTGGAAGTGAAGACAGTAACTTGGAAAGTTATTTCCCCTCTCTGTCTGGCCTCAGGTGTTTTACCTGAAACAGGAGGTATTTGGTTAGGTTGGTAACTTAGAAATCTTTGACCAGACTCACAATGAGACACACGCTTTGCACTGCAACTCCTTACACATACCCACATACACATATATGTAATTGACCCCAGAGTTTCACAAAACAAAAGATGTATTGCCAATCCCTGCCTCCACCCACCCACCCTGCTCCCTCCTGTCCCCCAAGATTCAGTTCAATTTACTCCTTCTCTTCCTCAACATCCCAATGTTAACTCTGACCCTGGAAACTGATTTCAAAAGTCTCCATTGGGTACAGGCTATACTAGGTGAAACGCTGGTTAGATAGTCAGTAAGCTACTTTCTAGCTCTCAGATTCTAGGGAAAGTCCATTTATCCACAGTTTACCACCCACTGCATTTCTCTCTCCCAAAGAAAATACAGATTTCATTCTGTATACTCTAAAAACTAAAGCCTCAAGTGGCATATTTTAAAATGTAATTGGGAGAACTGCTCAAAATCTTACTCAGGGTCTTTTTTTATAAACACCTTTTAAAATCACTTAAATGTAGGAAGTAACTTCCAGTCTGTTCTTACAGCGTCTGAGTAAATAGTGTGGCGATCCTAGGGCTTCACAGGAAAAGCATTCTTTGCCTTTGTTTCAGCACAGCCCAAGGACAACTCACGAGGACAGCTTTTTCTGTGTATTCATAAAGATCAGATGTAGGAGTCATAATTTTTTAATGTGACTGTTTTACCAATTTCTCTTTCTGTGTCCTGCTGTGGGGGAAACAGCATTAATAAACTATGTCTCAATGCTGCCTGCCTGGAATATTTTTCTCAGCAGGTTTCCACCAAATATAGCTAAAGGAATGCTCATTTTATTTATCTTTTCAACTTTCTTTCCATTTTGGATATGTCTTCTTGACACTTTAGAAATGTTTCTCTCAATGGCACCTTTTTTAAAAACAGAGTACAAAACTGATTGTTCATTAACAACAACAAAATAGAGTTCTTGTTTCCCTCTCTTTGATGCCATATGGTATCTTTTATGACTTTAGCAGTTATTTTACACTCTATCCAGAAAAATTAAATAGCTTATGGAACTGGCAATTTTCCAAGACCAGCTCACAGATTTTGCTTTGCTGAGAAATTGTGGGTTAATAATAGAGAAGTGTCACTTTTAATTGGATGACCCTACATCATGCATCTGTCTCTACTTTGCCCCCCACAAACATCCCCAGAGAAGCACCACAAGAGGGGAATAACTTCAGGGTTGATTTTTTTCTTCTTTAAAAGTTCTAATAAATTATATGTAAATGTTTGCCATTTTAAGTAGTTTTAAATGTGCAATTCCATGGTGTTGCACAACCATTCCACTATCTCCAAAATGTTTTCATCACCTCAAACAAATCCTCCACATCCGCTTTACCCCACCTCTGGTAACTTCTAATGTACATTCAGCCTCTGTGAATTTGTCTATTCTAGGTATTTCATGCAAATGGATTATAAGCTATTTGTCCTTTTACACCTGGATTCTTTCACGGATGCAGCCACCATCTTGGTCATGGAGGCAATGTGATAAAATGGAAACAATAACATTTGGAAACTGGTCAAACTGGATTTGAGCCTGATTTCTACCATCTAATAGCCCTGGACTTTCAAATTAATTAATTGATGGACTTCTCATTTTCCTCATGTGGAAAAGCAGTAGGACAACTACATGTTTTGTAGTCTTTTCAACTCTAGGAAAATAGCCCATATTCTATGAA